TTTTTAGCACATCGTGATTTGTTACGATAGCGCACATTATTTTTCAGTACGAGAATGATATAACAACAACTTTCTGTTGGTGTCTCACCTTTTGCTTTCGATTCTCAATGTTACCTCTCTCTCTCACTGTATCTCACTTTTGTAGCAGCAAATACATTATTATTAATATATAAAACAAGAAACTTGTAGTCAACCAGACTGGTATATTCCTTTATTTATTTAATACGTTTCGACCCTATTTTTGGGTCCTCTCGTGCTGCCGCCAATCAACAAACGTACGGAATAAAAAGATTTTGTTAGTTATGATGTAAAACAAAAGGAAGTAAATTAACGAACCTAAGTGAGTCAACGTTGTCCATAAGACAGAGTCAAATTATAAAAATACAAGTACATGTGAACACTGTGGATGCTGGGCTCGAACTAATTCGCAGGTACCGTCGTAGAAACAAAACAAGGTGGTATTACGACCTACCGTTTGTTGATTTGCAATATCACTTGATAAGGACCCAAAAATAGGGCCGAAACGTTGTATTAAATAAATAAAGGAATATGCCAATCTGGTTGACTACAAGTTTCTTAATTTTTAATCATCACTGATGACTGTAACTTCTTCCTTCATTATTATTATATTATTATATTCTGCGGCGATATATTAAAGCGCACGTAGCGAAGCAAGATGCAATAGACGGATCAACTTGTGGCTCGTCGAGTATATCAATCTATGGCCACAGATACAAACAGAACGCGCGAGGGCGGGGGCGGGACGGAGGAGGGAAGCGGAATTCATTATCGCTCGCGACGATTCGTTACGATGGCCATAAAAAAAAAGCTTATGAGACACGGTGAAAGAGCTTACGTCGCGACTGACGTTAACGGCGATGTAAACCACGATGCGAACAGCGCAGTCCGAAGGCGGGAGGGCACGCACCGAGGGAAGGAGGAGCCTGTATTAAACTCGTCCGGCGAGCCTTCTAATCGAGTGTATCAAAAAAATAGGCGACTCGCGCAGGATGCCCCAGCGATGTCGGCGGGAAATGTCCTAGGAAATTTCACGTTTCGCGATGGACCTGGATTCAGCGGGGGGCTACGCGGAAGGCCGCGTCCTTCGGGCCATAGTTTAACTAGTAGGTCCACTCTCCGCCACGGCGCCGGCCCCTTTGATCTTTGCGCTCCCGATCACGTGGTAATCCGCCATACGTACACGTCAAAGCCACCCTACCACACGTACAACTTTTCTCCCATTGGTCTGCCCAGAGCAATGTCGGGTGCGCAGAAGGGATCGGCGCAAGACGAAACAGATGACGGAGTGGACCTACTAGTTAAGCCAACGGCACACGATACTATTTTTCTTACTGGATTGCTTACGAGATCCAATAAGGATTCAGAGTTTTAGATCAGGTGACTTAAAGCTAACTCCTGATTGGCTCTCGTAAGCAATCCAGTAGGAAAAGTAGTATCGTGTGCCGTTGGCTTTACACTATGCTTCGGGCCTCGCTTTTAATTTCTTGGCTTGATCGGAGGTTTAACTTCTAAAGACCTGCGTCCACGATGCTGGACTTGGTCCAAGTTCCAGCATCGTGGACGCGGGCCTCAAGAAAGAATATTTGCGGTTCGACGGTTAAAATTGAAACAGAGGGAGAATTTTCGTTTTCTAAATTTCACTTTAGAAGCCCGATGCCTCTAATTTTCAGTGTTAGATAACTCCGCAACCATTTGCGCCTCGCTATGCGACTATAACCATTGCTCTTCTTAAATTAGTTCTCTACTATCTGTAGCTACACGTGTCTGTGAATATACAACAGTTGGGCTGCGTTCGGAAACATCACCCGAGTGCCTCAGTGGATTATTTTATCCTTGCTGCTCACCGAATATTAAATAAAGATAAAATGATACACGGGAACACTCGGGCGACATTTCCAAACGCAGCCTTACAGAGAACACCCTCACGCGTAAATAAAACTAAAGCATACAAATGTTGAATCAACATCTCAGAAACGTTCCATTACATTGCAATATTGCATCAATGTTACACAGTTGAAAAATTGAAGTGTTAAATTTAACAGACATCACATGTCCACACAAATTTTTGTATTAATTTAACATAATATGGATATGTTAAATGATCACACTAATACTCTGTTAATATTTTAACACAAAATAAATGCAAATCTCAAAATAATTTGAAATAAATTTGCTGTAAAATTAACATATTTTTAATGACAAAATAAATTTGTTTTAATGTAATTTTCACATTTTACAGATGTAATAAGTCAAATAACTGGTCGAAACTCTCACTTATGTTATATAGAATAAAATCAGCATTTTATTCTGTAAATTTTAACCGATAAATCTTGTTACTAATAATAAAGATCATATGTATTGTGTAAGATTGAAAAATAAGTACACATTGTGTTGTTTTAACATTTCTTTACAAGTATTTTAATAATTTTACATTTGAGGTCAATTAACGCAAGAGCGATATGTTAAATTAACACATGAATGTGTTAAACATTTAACACAAAAATTTTAACCGGCAGTTTCTTTAACAGGAAAACACAAATTTACGAACTGTGTACGAAATGTAGATTCAACGTTGAAAAGATATTGCAAAACGTCGAATGTCCGTTGAATTGTAATGTCTTGTAAACGTTACAATTCAACATTCAGAAAACATTGTTATATTGAGTGAACATTGGTCGCGTTTAGCAGAATATTTTTTACAACTGTTGGAAGATGCTGAAATTGGATTGTTCCTCTAAAACAACAATTCAATCTCAGCTCAGAAAATTTCTGACCGTTGCAAAAATATTATACACACACACACACACACATATTTCATAATTATACTTTCTTTAAGTATCTATTTGAGTATCAAAAAATAATAATTTGTTCAAGATTGTTTTAACGTTGCAGCAACATAAAGAATCAATGTACAAACATTAACCTAGATTCAACGTAGAAAAGATATTTATACTTCAACATTCAACATCGCAACAATTACACGGCGAATGAAAAGTCCCTATCAGCACGTGCCAAGTTCCGATTCGTCCGGGCAAATAGTTGATCTTTTACGGATCTTTGGCCGGACGTGTCCTCGTGATTTTTGAAAAATAAATGAAGCGCGTGCCGCGATCAAGTTATCTCGCGAAGAAGGGCCGGTTAAACAAACCCTTCCTCAACGTTGTTTCCAACACGTTTCAGCACGGTCTGGAGACCAATTTAATAGAAAAAATTATCTAAACTAAAGAAAAATTAAAAAAATAAAACTAAATAAAAAAACTCACGATAGATGCACATGTACGGTATACAAATATAAATGCTAATGCGCGAGATCTTGCGCGCGCGCGCGCGTGTGTGTGTGCACGTGTTATTCATCCATATGCAACATGCAGAAGAAAGAGAGACAGAGCCAACGCGCGTAATGACGTGGGCGCGAGCGGGGCGGGGGCGTCAAAGCCGAGCGACCGGAGTTCAGGTAAAGCGCGAGAGAGGAAGTGCCGCGGTGTAGATACGAGAAATTATTCTTGATAAGAGGAGAAAGAGAGAGAGAGAGAGAGGCCGCGGGAGAGGCGCGCGCGCGCGCGCGCTACGCTGGGAAACACACGCGGCGAGAGAGTTCCGTTCGGCCACCGAGGGCACCCGTCCGGGGGCTCTCGGCCGGAGCGGCCGCGATTCCGCGATCTTGCGACTCTCGCCGAGCCAGAAAGAAAGATTGTAAACAACGGCGAGTACTGAAACGGGGGAGGGGAGGGAATGCATCCGAAGGGACACCCGAAGGGAAGCGCATCTCGGGGCAGAGAGAGAGAGAGAGAGAGAGAGAGAAGAGAGAGAGGGGGGAGGGGGAGGGAGAGGAGAAATGGCGTAAACGTGCGGTATGCGTCACGAACCCGTTAACTGGACTGGCACTCTTTTCTTTTTTTTTTTCCCCTCTTCTTCGGCAACAGAAATGTGCATCCGCCGTCTGGACGTTGATCGAAAAAATTGAGACACGCGGCGGGTACGCAACGGATTCTCTCTCGCTAGGCAGCCACGGACGGCGTCCGACGTGCGTCCCACCTCGTGGCGCGTCGCTGCCCCGCGAGAGATAAATTAGAAGAGAGTGACGTAGAGAGGGACGTCTTCCGATATCCCGATAGATATTGTATGTACCTGCGCGCGCGCGCGGCCGGGGCCGCGTCCGACCGCGCGCGAGGGCGGAAAAAAGAAGTACCTCGTTCATTCGGAAAGCGTTTATTCGGCGAGTTCCTAACGGAATAGCACTCGTGTGACGTCTAGCGCACGCATATTCGAATCAGATCGGAGCGCTGCCATCGTGCCAGGCCGACAGTGAAAAAGAGAGGCGACGTCGAGAAAGGAGAGTTGGGGGGGGGAAGGCGGAGGGAGGGAGGGAGAGAGAGAGAGGCGTATAAAAAGAGAGCGAGGCGACGGGGAGGGGGGAGAAGAGGTTAAGAAAGAAAGAGAAGGCCTGGCCCGCACACACGCACGCAGGGAGCGCAGAGGGACGGGCGCACGGCGGCAGAGGGATGGCGCGCGGCGGCTTCCATCCTTGAATACGCACTTAGCCCGCAAATTGCGCCGTTCCTTTGTCCGTGTGTCTCCGCTCGCGGATATCGCGCGCGGCCACTTAACACGTCAACGGTCCTACGCGTCCACCGCGCCGCCGTTTCGCGGCATGGCGCAGCGCGACGGCTGGCTCCCCCCGGGCTCTCGTCGTCGTCTCCTCGATCGGGGATTGATTACGCGTGCACGTAACTCGCGCGAGGGGGCCCACGCGAGTAGGGAAAACGGAGCGCCCGCGGTGCTCCGCTCGGGGGAGAAGATTTACGGAGGAGAGAAAGAGATAGAGAGAGAGAGAGACGGCGGCGGCTCGAGGGGCACGGGGAGGAGGAGGAGAAATAATCGTCCGTCTCTCACGGCTATCCCGACCGAAAATAGTTTCGCGGCGGGTCCGCGGTGGCGGCGGAGGGCGGAGAGAGCGCGCGCGGGATTGCGACACTTACCGAAGGCTGTTGCGGTGCAGCAGGGCGCAATATGTCAGCTGACTTGACGCGCGACCGATCCCAATTCTGCGTCACTATTCCACATAATTCTCAGCGGGACATTCGGCCACTCGCGCTCGCAAATGTGTCCCGCTTCGCGGAACCGCCTGGCCCCGCTCTGCTCGCGCGTTTCACACCGTTTCACAATAACGCGCGATACGAGAGGAGGCGCGGAGAAGCGGGAAAGAGAGAGAGAGAGGCACAGGCAGAAAGAATCGAGGGGGAATTAAAAGAGGGAGAGGACGACGGAGATACGAGGCAATCACGGGGACGACTACGACTACGACTACGACGACGGCGACGACGACGACGGAGAACGAGAGTAACGGCGGCGCGACGATCCTTGCCGAGCTACTCTCTTCACACCCAACTCGCACGTCTACCACGTAGACCGCCGTATCTGCAGACACGAGAACGAATACTGCTGATGTGACTGACGTAAAGTTAGATCTCCTTCGCTCTCCCCCCCCTCCTCCCTCGTGCTCCGTCCGAGCGTAGCACTCGGGGCGCCGTACGCAGGCGAATGACCACGAGTCCGCCCGAGAGCCGGTCGCGGGTCACGCGACTCCTAGACGGGCGGACCTCGAGGCGGCCCCCGCGCTCGGGCCCGGCGCGGCGATTGGCCGGCGGCTAGGGAATCGCCGTGATCGCCCGACGTCCCCTGGCCGGCGGCCAATCAGCGCGCTCAAGTTGGCAATCGTTCGTTCAAACGCGTTCGACGCGTTGAGAGAGCCCTGGGATCACCTGGGATCCGCTGGGAGGAGGAAGAGAAGCGCGCGGTGCCGACTCTCGTCGTTTCTGCCGATCCTCGCCGACCGCTCGTGCCCTCGCGGCGACATCGGCGTCTACCCGGGGGAGATCACCGGCGAACCGAGCGTCCGTTTCCGCGTGAGACGCGACCGGCCGTCGGGATTTCCGGCTGTTGTTGGCGGTGCTGCGGCTCGACCGCGGCGGCCGGACGAGCGCGGCAGGTTAACCGAGACGACGCGCGTCGGGATACGGCGCTCCAGGTCGGATAGTACGCGAGCTCGCTAGCTGGGAACGAGGATGAACACGCCGCAGTCGAACAAGAAGAGCAAGAAGATAGGGAGGAGCAGAATGGGTGTCCTCAACGAGAGCGCGAGTCCCACGAACGCGGAGACGCTCAGCAGCCAGGAGGCGACCAAGTTTGTTTTGGTATAGACGGGCGCTTCTTGTAACCTGCCCCTTTCGACACTCGGGCCGATCTTTCATTTTCCGGTTGAAACAGTTGACCAGAAAATGAAACACCGGCCGGCAATTCTCTAGAAAACCTCGCTCCAATATCGATTTGAGTCTCGAGTCGCGAAATAGGGGGTGAGATGCCGGGATTGAGACGCCAGGTGATGGTGTAGGCTGTGATTGTATTCTGTGATATCATTCTGTTCGTAGACTGTGCGTATGGTTTGAGGTAGGAGGAGGAGGGCCACTGTTTCCATAGTACAACTGGTAGGACCACTCTCTGCCGGCCCCTTTAATCTTTGCGGTCCCGAGCACGGACACCCGGGCAGGATCCAGCGATTTGTGTGTAAACGTACTCGTCAAAGCCACACTACTGCGCATACAATTTTTCTCTCTTTGGTCTGCCCAGAACAATGTTTGATGTGCAGAGGAGATCGACGCAAAACGAAACAAACGGCGGAGTGGACATACTAGTTGTACTACGCTATTTCCGACGTCTGTTAAATCTAACCGACCGTTAACTTGCAATTTCTATTGGCGGTTCTGGCTAGCAGTCCATTCCGACTGGCTGTTCTGAAAAGTTAACAGACGTTGGAGATAGTGGGAGTCTGGAAAAGTCGCTCGAGCAGGTCGGTCGGAGTAGCGCGATTGCGACTTAGGCCGGTATTCATAGTCGATTCTTATTTCAAAATCATCTTGAGTGTTGTCTTAAGAAGCTAATACGGCTCTGCGATTGGTTAAGAACACATTAAGAGTATACTTAAGATGATCTTAAATATAAGAACGGACTATGAATACCGGCCTTAGAGTGACGAGACCGAGCCGGAAGGGAGGAATTTGTTTGCCATAATTTTTTCTGTTCTCTCAATATTGATTCAAGTGCATTTCTTTTTTTCTGAACTTGTTGGCGGCCGTATTCTTCTTTGAAAGAAGACGAAGAAGTTGGAAATAGTGGCCTTTGTAGCTAAGTACTTGACGTAAACCAAGTCCCGCTTCTTGACTATGTGCTGAAGCGAACGAACAAATTCAAAACTTGGAAATCGTGGGCCGGACGGATAAATTCGATCGGTTTCAATTATTGCTTAATTGACTGTTTTAATTGTAAATATATATGTATTCTGTTCCGACTGCTTTCCTTTTAGGAGACACGAATCGACAAAAACACACGTTAGCACACTCGAGCACAGTTTGTCACAGTTAAACAGAAATTCAAAGTTGAGAGAATCCTTTTGAAAAGAGATTCTGTCGAAATGCTGCGTTCTTCGGTCAAAAACACACTCTGACTCCCGAGCAGAACCGAAGAGCGAGTTTGAATCAAATTCTAAATGAAAAGAGACTTATGTTGATTTGTGTCGACTGTGTTCCCTGAGGTCTGATCTACAGTGTACTCTTTGCGTCTGAAATATTCTATTTTGTAGCGAATAAGTGCGATTAAAAAACTTGTGCAAGTTGATAAATTGTACATCACACACTGTACAGTCGTACATTATCGACAAATGTTTTAGGCGGTTTGATTTGCTTACATAAAACAGAATATTTCTAGGCGCAAAGAGCACGTTGTAGCTCGGGCTGAAAATAATACTTTCACAGCAGTAAAAGAGTAACATGCAATTTTTGAATGTTATATTAATAACATTTTTAAATACTTTTTTAACAACTCTCGAATAACCGTTCATGGAATGAATTGTGTTGATAATACGACATACATCTTGACATTTAAAGGTAAACCCCATAGGAGAAGATGGAAATAAGTCAATTAAGCTGGCTATCTCGGATGCAATTCCCATAATTTCCATGGATGCGAGTATGTCCGATGAGAAGGTGCAGAAAAGTAACGCGGCGTCACAGGAAAAGGAGAAGGAAGACAAGAACATTCTCAACTCTTTACCTATTGCCACAGTTAAGGAAATAGAAGGCTACGAGGGTCAACTAGGAGTAGCTGAGTCACTTCCGAATTCTTATATTAGATTTATGGAGCGCAGCGGCGAGGAGCTAGATGGTAAAGTATATTTTCCGACTTGTATAATGCTACAATGTAGAGGCCTGTATCCACGATGCTAGAACTTAGCCCAACTTGGACCCAAGTTGGGCCAAGTTCCAGCATGTTGGACGCAGGCCTTAACAGTAGTCACAATGTTCAAGTATCGTTTGAAACTCCTGGGCTCTCCTATTCACTGCAACCACATTGGATTGATAGCGGAAGCGAAAAACCATAGCATAAAAGTATAGCATTTTTGCGACACGCATTAAAATAAGTGCTTTTCACAAAAATAATGTTCGTAATCGAGTAGAGTAGACTTACAAAATATTTTAAAAAATCATTTCGATAGATGACTCCCGTCCCTCCTTCAGTAACTCAATAAATAACTCCTATGTGTAGTTAAATTGTGCCTAATGGACAAAAGCAAAGTGTTCGACAATTACCGAATTGAAACGCCACGGCAATTAGTTTATATGTGAAAACTTTGCACTAAATAATACCTTTTTAACTTGTTAAAAGGCATGTATGCATACATACATTTTGCGTCAATATACGAAATGAGATTCTTATTTGAATCAAGTTACCACGCAGACTTGGCAATCGAGTACTCGGGAGCTTTAATTATTATAATGTATTGCATTGCTTTCATCATTAATGATAATATATAAAGGAAAGTCCCTCCATTATGAGATCGGCTTCTAGTATGAGATAACAGGTTTTCCAACACCCAAATTTAATCACAAATCTTTTTTCGCAACGATTAAACAATCTAACAATGAATTTTCCACTAAACAGATTTCACTTCAAGGGTAATAAATTCATGGTGGAATCATCAGATGTTGCCTATTAATTGAACAGAAACCGTGCTATCTCAAATTAGAAGCCTATCTTATAATAGCAGACTTTTCTCTACTAAAAAAGTTCTTAATGGTCACATTTTGTGTATACACATATTAAATTGTAAAACTGCCAAATTCTTACGTTGATATGAACATTGGTTTCATTTATATTGTTATTATGTGAAAAGTAAACTCAAAGGTAAAGTTTAAGATGTCGTTTTGACAGGAGAGGTAGAATATGATTTAGATGAGGAAGACACCGCGTGGCTATCTATTGTGAATGAAAGAAGACTGGCTTCTGGATTAACGCCCGCATTAGAGCCTGATACGTTTGAGCTGTTGATGGACAGACTGGAGAAAGAGTCGTATTTCCAGCAGCAAAGTAACGGCGGCGGTGGCGTTGCCGCGGACGAAGACGCCGTCTGTTGCATTTGCATGGACGGAGAATGTCAGAACAGTAATGCAATCCTGTTTTGCGACATGTGCAATCTGGCTGTTCATCAAGATTGTTACGGTGTACCATACATACCCGAGGGCCAATGGTTGTGCAGAAGGTGTCTACAGAGTCCGTCCAGAGCGGTAGATTGTGTCCTTTGTCCGAACAGGGGTGGCGCCTTCAAACAGACTGATCGCCCCGCGACATGGGCTCACGTAGTATGCGCTCTATGGATACCAGAAGTGAGATTCGCTAACACGGTGTTTTTGGAGCCCATCGACAGTATAGAAAGCATACCGCAGGCTCGTTGGAAGCTCACGTGCTGCGTGTGCAAGCGCAAGGGAGCCGGCGCGTGTATTCAGTGTCACAAGAGCAATTGTTACGCGGCATTCCATGTGACTTGTGCTCAACAAGCTGGCCTGTGTATGCGTATGAGAACGGTGCAGCCTGCCAACGGTGAGCCGATGCTGGTGCAAAAGACAGCTTATTGCGAAACACATACACCTATCGATTATCAGCCGTCCACGAATCCTGTGGACGCGCGAAGGAGAGCGATAGCAAACAAGAAAAGTTCCTCAGCGCCTGTTATTTCCATTCCCACCATACCACCTGAAAGGATCAGAGAAATTGCCAGGTAAGAAAATTATCACTCACGTGTCGTACTGACGGTGATATAGACGCAGACGCAGCTCATATAATAAAGCAATATTTTTATGATTGGATTTATACATGTTGCTTTATTTTAATTAGTTTGGCGGAAGGAATACCAAAGAGAAGTCAATTGATACAACGTCTCATTGCCTATTGGACACTGAAGCGGCAATACAGAAATGGCGTTCCACTTCTCAGAAGATTGCAAAGTTCCCATCCACAATCTAGACCACCCCCGCTCGGAGACCATCCCTCTTTGCCTACGCATGATAGTGAAGTGCCAGTGGAAATGTTTCATCAGCTTAAATTCTGGCAGAGTCTACGCCAAGATTTAGAACGCGCGCGATTGCTATGTGAATTAGTACGAAAGCGTGAAAAATTGAAGAAAGAACTATTCAAAGTGTTAGTATACTCGCAACAGATTTTAATTAATATAGATATCGTATTTCTTAAATATTTACTAATAAAATATTATAATAGGAAACTGTGGATCTGCTTTAGAAAAACTTGACTTGGATCTTTAATCCTCATCGGACGTTTATTTCAAAACTAATCTCATGTTAGGGTCAACTTGACACTGCAGATAACTCGAAACACCGATTAAAGTTTTAGCTGTAAAATTTGGAAAAAGATTTATATTGTACTTTAATGTATTCTAATACCATTATTAGGTCACAGTGGCAAAAATTAACATTTTGGATTACACTCAAATGAATTTCAAGAAAGGGTCAAAATAATCCTAATGTCCGATGAGAGTTAAATTCTTTGGAATTTTATAATGCCAATTTCTAAGATAAAAAATAAATCTTTGAAAGATATTAATTTTGAGAAAAATTTATTGCAGGAAGGAAAAGTCTTTATGGCTCCAATTGCGGCCATTGGAAAGTGTTTTGCGTGCATTGCTAGAAGCTATAAAAGCAAAAGACGTAAATGATGTATTTGGACAACCAGTTAACATCAAAGAAGTTCCAGATTACCTTGATATAGTCTCACATCCTATGGATCTCTCTACAATGCAGGTAATTATTTTATATTACATATATTTTAGTTTATACATTTATAAATTATATATAAAATATACTTATACTTGTAAAGTTTTATGAATCTATCATCTGGTCAAAATATAATCCATAATTTTGTATCACATTTTTTATTACAGACAAAATTAGAAAAGCAAGACTATGACTCCATTGGAACTTTTGAGTCTGATTTCAATTTAATGGTGAACAATTGTCTGGCATATAATCGCAAAGATACAATGTTTTATCGAGCAGGAATGAAAATGAAGGAACAAGGTGGAATTTTGATAGAACAGATTCGCAAAGATTATCCTGAGCTTGATCCAGTCTCTGAATCCGACCAAGTCGGCTCTAAATCTAGAAAGAGAGAAAGATCGAATCGCAATCGCGTGGAAACGGAAGCGCAGTCGAATGAGAAGGAAATTGGTGGAGGTGGTGTAAATAGAAGAACAGCGGTGTTGTTCACTCGTAAAGCTAGAGCGCGTAATGCTAAAAGTGGCCAAATGTTTCTTCCAGAGGAGGATAAAAAGAAGCAAAGTGATAGTTTTAAAATATATCGGTAATCACCGAAGTTTTATACATAATATATAATTGTTTAAATATTTATAAACATTTATATAAAGTGTATGTATCTATAAAATATCTAATGTAATTAAACGAAGTAAGAATACAAATTAAAACATTTTCTGAATGATGCTTTTATGGCTATAATGATATACTAATAATATTCGTGCTACAAAAAGTTGCATACACGATTAATATTTTCAGGAGTGGCGCACTGGATAGCGATATAGGTGAGGGAGAAAGCCAATCGTCGAGCTGTAGTAGTTGCCCCACGAGTAGATCCACTACTCCTGATTTAGAAGAAGAGAAGCAACGACAAGAGATTGCTGATACAAAAAAAGAAACCGAAAGCAAGCAAACGAGTGCTGGTAGCGGTTTAGAAGCTTTGCAACTCGTATGGGCTAAGTGCCGTGGATATCCTTGGTATCCAGCCCTTATCATTGATCCTAGTACACCCCGAGGTACTATACATAAAGGAGTACCGATTCCAGCACCGCCTGACGATGTTCTGGCGCTTGCAGACAATTATAAAGAGCCGGTCTTTCTTGTGCTTTTCTTTGACACAAAACGCACATGGTAACAATCTTTAATTCTTAATGTAGGAATAAATTCGGTTATAGAGATATTTAGTTGCACCTTTTTAATGACGGTTGAAACATTTTCAAACATTTTTTAATTGGAAACAAATCTTTATAGAATAATTTTAGTTTTTAATAAGAAAAACCATTCTATTTATTATACATGCGTACAAACGTTTTACATAAATATTCATATGAATGTAGTATCTACGTAAAATATGATACGACAAAATTGTTAACTGCATGAAAAGATAATCTCGAAATAGGAAAATACAGATTTTCTACAATTGTGCATAAAAATTAATATTTTTCAATTTTATAAAAGCAAACATGGATAATTGAATGGTAAAAATGTTCAATTTAATACTTTTCAGGCAATGGCTACCAGGTGAGAAATTAGAAAAACTTGGAGTATCGCAGGAAGTTGACGAAGCAAAATTGATCGAATCGCGTAAACCTGCGGATAGAAAAGCCGTGAAGAAAGCTTATCAAGAAGCTTTACATTATCGTAAACAAACACATAACGCAGTATTAGACAATACGTCAACTGGATAAGCGTTGTAAATATAAAATATAGTATTGTAGAACGTGTAAGCCATCTGAAAAGCTTTTACTTAAATAATTATAAAACATAAAATAAAATATATAATTAAATATGCACATATACAAAATATGTAATCTAAAAAAACAGTGAATAATTTCAGTCATTGATTAAATATTGAAATAATTTTGCTAGATAATATCAAGATGTAATTGAAAGTTTCACACTACAATGTTACACGATATTTTAAACTGTAATTGGTTACAATTGTGCGGTTATCTTCAAAAAATTAAAATTGACACTTAATGTAAGTTTCAAAAAGTCTTTTCTATTTCTAACACATGTATTACATTCTACAATAGATAATATTTAATTTAAAATAAGAAGATAATAATACAATTGTAATTGATATATGTATATGTGGTTTTTGAATTTATTAATTTTTGTAAAACATTTAGTATACATATATTACAAGTCCATTGATTTATCAATATTATTCAACATAATAATGGTGTCTCAGCATCAATATTATTAACAAGTTATATGTATGTACATATTTCTATCGATTATTGTATAAAATTTCGTTATTGTATAAAACCGAAAAACCGTATATAATTGATATCTTGTATATAATTTTTTATTCTTGATTTGACTAGTACTAAATTAATTGTATATGTCACGACAGGTGGCATTCAGGAATCAACATTAGACTGTTTATTGCGATGAATATTTTCATATGCTTCGGTGGCCGAATTGGTTAAAACGCCCGCCTAGTGAGAGCGAGGTCCAGGTTTAAACTCTGGCTGAGCTAATATTTTTCGCAATAAATTTAAAATATGGAATATTTTGACACTAACACCCGTCACGGCTCTTAGTCCTTTATTCCTTCGAATTTGTGTTTATCACATTTGTATAGAAAGAGATCGATAGGATGTGATGCTATGTCAAGATAATCTGAAACTTTGATATTAACTGGTTGTCCAAATACATCATTTATATCTTTTGCTTTTATAGCTTCTAGCAATGCACGCAAAACACTTCAACGGCCGCAATTGGAGCCATAAAGACTTTTCCTTCCTGCAATGAATTTTTCTAAAAATTAATATTTTTCAAAGATTTATTTTTTACCTTATAAATTGGCATTATAAAATTCCAAAGAATTTAACCCTCATCGGACATTAGGATTATTTTTACCTTTTCTTGAAATTCTTTTGACTGTAATCCAAAATGTTTATTTTTATCACTGTAATCTAATAATGGTATTAGAATAATGTTAAAACACATTTTACTAATGTTTTTTTGTATAAAAATGTCGAATATTGATCATTATCGAAATATATCATTAATTTAGTATTAATCAAATCGAGGATTAAAAGCAAAGAGGTTACATCTGAGGATAGATTAAATATTAATATTGTGTAAAATGCTATTGTGATTTAATACAATTTTTATATCAATGTAAATTTTATACAAAATTTGCAAATTTGGTACAATTTATATAAAGTTTACAAATATTAAATTGCACAACAAAATCAAATTATATATAATTTTCTTTTGATGAAATTTATATATGTATATGAATTTTGTTATAACAGACATATGGAATAAATAGTAAAGCATTTATGTTATAGAAAAGTTTTTATTCCAAGGTTTTTTGCACTCTTGATCCTCGATGTGTGTAATGGATATATCTTAAACCTTGGCTACGTACATTGTGTGAAGTGCATAATGTACTATTGAATTGAATCTTATTATTTTAAATATGAAAGTTAATCACATAGTAGTAAAACTGTTTTACAAGTTTATCACACAATGTTACAAATGTGAGTGTCAAAAAGTTACAATTAGCGTATTAATTTAATTATGAACTTTGTAAAATCCGCGTCAGTACAATTGTTTTTTTGTTAATTTTTACCATCTCGTTTGGAAACATATTCAGCAAGTTCTTTAGCATACATGTCGAGTCTTTGGGTCATCTGAAAAAAAATTTATAAGACAAAACAGAATTTATACATATATTTCATAATTTTTGGACGAGGTATGATCATTTTATTAATAGAAGATTGTTAATATATTCGATAAGACATAATAGTTGCCAATTACATTTCAATAAAAGGCATACAACTTTCTTTTCCTCATTTTAAATAATGCACACTTTTTAATAAATTAATCTATAAATTTTTATTATGTAAGCTAATTTCCCTTGATTCACAAGTTAGTGTGTGTATGTGTGTGTAATGACAAACTTGGTTCCATTATAATTTCATATATTATTTCATACGCGACGAATAATCAGAAAATATGAAATGCTCACCCTATATCCCCAGG